CTTAATCAGGATATTAATAAGGAACTAGCAGTTTATGAAGCTTTTGGAATAATCCACCAATTTTTTAAAATTAAACACTATCTAAAGATTTGCATCGAAGCGTTTTTTTTTGATAGTGATTTTAATCACTGTCAGATATCATTATACTTGATCCAACTATGCCACGTCACCACTGTGCCGCGACCCCCCTGTGCTGGGTTTTTTATCTATGATATAGACATTATTAATTAAAAAAATTATACAAACACGAAAAACGATAATTCCTTTTACACGAAAATAACTTTTTTTGTTGAATTAAGCTAATCAATTTCAGGGAAAAATTTATTTAATAAATTATAGATTTATGAGGGAATATATTCTCTACATTTTATGAGAAATGCATAAATATTTGTTTTAAAGTAACAAAAAACCAGTGTAACTATAATCACTTATCAAAATGTAGTTAATATAATTAAATACATAATATCAACGAAAACAATATTAAGAATAAACAAATGCTGATAAAATTTCATACGATTCATTAACAATTTATTTATCCAAAAGTCGTAGTCCTGATAATTATTACAAATATAAATTAAATATTACTACAGATATTTTGTAATAATAATATTAAAAAAAAGCGATTAAAAGTTTAATAAAGTTCATTTTTATAAAATAAAAGAAAATTACAAAATTTTTGTTAAATGCTAATAGTTATTTTATTGAAACCTAAACAGTCGTATTCACTTGTAATAGCAGCATTAAAAAACGCGATAAAGCGTTCCAAAGCGTATTCATACAAACGTAATGGACGTTCAAGTGTGTTTTTATAATTATTTAACGATACAATAATCTTCCATGAATCTATTAATTGATTTTTATTTAAAAGTTCACCTTCAATCAAGCAACAATTATGAACAGTATTACGTTCGTCCATAAGTCTTCGAGTAAAATTTATTCGAGCATTTTGAAAATCAAATAAGAATTGAGATACTTTCATTTCTAGTTCATTGATAGATAGATTAATAAAATCAGTTATCCTAAAATTAAGACGTTCAATTTCGGAGGAAAATTTACGTAATATATTATAGGTTTGCGTTAAACATGAATATGGAGTATAAAACACTTCCCAAATATTTGAATCTTCTAATTTATTTAAAGCTAGCAACATAATTTTTAACAAGTCTTTTGAATCATTAACTATTTCAAAAAATTTAATAGTACAATCTACAAAGGCCATTAAATTACCATTAGTCTTTTCATTTCTGCATGTTTGAATTACAGCAGTTATATGTGTATTATAGTTTTTTAATACTTCAGTATATCTGCACTTTATCAGCTGTGTAAAGTATTGTCTTTTTTTATTAAAATTAAAATCGTCTACATTGTCTCGAATAATTTGATTAGTAGTTATAATTTCATTACCAATTATTATTCTTATATGATTTAATAGCCTCCAATCTCCTTCACGGAACAAAGTATTTAGTATTTCAATTGCTTCATTTTGATTAAAGCCGTAGTTTTGAGGGGGCTTAAGCCTAAAATAAAACAATAACTATTTTTATTTAGACTTTAAAAATCATACGGAAAAATCATTATTGTATAAATTTTATTTAATAAAATTTATTTTACATTCTACCATGTTGTTTTGTACGAGACAGCTGAACCGTAGAACTCGCCGTCTTGTCTTAACCCTACTTACGATCACGTCGAATTGTCTTGGGTGGGGTGTGAGGATAGGTAAGCAAAGACGATAGGGATAAGTTGTCAAGGATGGGTTTGGTTGGGTTCATGTATTCAGCGGTAACTGTGANGACAGCTGAACCGTAGAACTCGCCGTCTTGTCTTAACCCTATTTACGATCACGTCGAATTGTCTTGGTGGGTGTGAGGATGGGCAAGCAAAGACGATAGGGATAAGTTGTTAAGAATGGGTTTGGTTGGGTTCATGTATTCAACGGTAACTGTGGCAACTAGTCCACTAGGACTTTGTTAAAGGTGTTCCTTAACAAGCAAATGTACAACCATAAATTGTGTACTCTATTTAAAATACAATTTCAGACTACACAATTTAACTTCCGTTAATTATTGTTCAAAACGATAAATTTTAAGATTACTCTAAAAATTGAATTCCGCGTAGACAACAGTATTTTTATTAATAAATAAAACTTACCCAGCTATATTGGGATGAAGTAACTCATTGAATCCGATTTTTG